CTCAATTAATTAAGTAATAAAATATTTAGTCAACACTTTCCCTCAAGTTGGTGCAAATATGTCACACATGCTCAACTTGTAGATCAAGTTATAAAGAGATTTGTTGAAAAATCCTTTAGTGAAAATATGTCTCTGACTGCTAGAAGACACGTTATATAAGTGTAAGAAGCTATCAATCACTCTCTTTTATGAAATGTCGATTAATTTTAATGTGTTTTGTCCGGTTATGTTGAACTGGATTCTGAATAATGCTAATAGTTGTTTTATTGTCACAAAACAATGATATATTCTCTTCTTTAAACAATTTTAATTCCTTCATTAGCTTTTGCAACTATAATAATTCATATATTCTTTTGGCTATTGCTTTATATTCTGTTTCAGCACTGGAACGAATAATTACACTTTGTTTTTTACTTTTCCATGTAATCAAGTTGTCTCCTAAGAATGTGCAGTAACCGATAGTTGACGTTCTATCAGTCGTAGATTCAAGCCAATCAATATATGTAAATGTTTCTATCTTATGATGACCATTTTTGGAGAAAAATAGACATTTTCTTGGTGCAAAATTTAGGTATCATAATATGTAGAAGACGGCATGTGAATGAGTTTCATGAGAATCATGTAAGTACTAACTCACTAGGTTAATTGCATCTGCTATATCATATCTGTTATGTGAGAAATAGATAAGTCTTCCAACTAATTTTTGATATCTTTTCAAGTTAACTGATGTAACATTATCCATTTGTAGTTTGTGATTACCTTCAATGGAAGATTCTGTCGGCTTGCAACTCATCATACTAGTTTCTTATAATAAGTTTATGATACTTTATTTGAGAAATGGAGATTTTTTTATTAAATTTGCCAATTTCAGTTTTTAAAAAATACTGTAATTTTTTTAAATTATTTATTTCAAACTCTTGAGAAAAAAGTTCTTTTAATCGAATCATCTCATTTGTATTATCTTCAGTCAACAGAATATCATCTGCATAAACAATAAGAAAAATAACCCTACTCTCACAATAATTGATTAATAGGGTATGATCAACATTACTTTATTAATATTTAAAAGATATTATAATTCTTCTAAACTTTTTAAACCATGCTCTTGGAGATTGTTTCAATACATATAAGGTCTTCTTTAATTTGTAAAGATTTTCTTGTGTTCTTTCATCTTCAAATCCAAAAAAAATTTTCATGTATACCTTTTCCTCTAAGTTTCCGTAGAGGAAGGTATTCTTGACATCAAACTGTTGCAAGTTCCAATTAAGGTTAACTGCATAAGACAATATTATTGTGATTTTATTCGTTAAACTTTTGCACCAACCAACTTTAAGCTGATTTTGATGGAAAAGGGAAAAAAAGGGGCAGCTCAGGAGTATTTAGATGCATTCCAGAATGGTTGAGAGTTGTAGGGCTTAAAAGCAAAGCCTAAAAATCTATGAACCAGCTCATGTTTGACTGGCCAAACAGATAAATTTGTTTTAAATTTTTTTAATTCCCTCGCACTTTTTTTTTTGTATAATATAAGTATTTCATTTCACATTTTTTTATGAATTCGATGCAGATTAATTCGCTGCTTTCCTACTTTTTTAGGCAGTAAACAAACAGCTCATTTAACCTATTTTCACACTAACATACCCTCTAGTACTAAAATTTATATTAAAACAATTTTTAAGTCAAAGATTAAAAGTTGTCCTTTATTGTCATTTTACCAAAAATAAGGTATAGACCCAGGTCAGTTAAATTTTGGCAGCATCAATATCTATGCTTATGAGTAACAAGTGTCATAAATTTAGATGGCATGAGCTTTTAAGCATATTGCAAACGATTGTGAACATATTACATTACTGTTTTAGGATTCTTTGACAACCTCTGTTGCAGCCAACTACCATATTTTTCAGTTTATCCACTTTGAGAACTATGGCTCTGGTTCTGATTGATAATGCCTTTACAGATGAAAGGTGAAAAGGAACTTGTTGAAAAGATATTGCAAACTGAAATAAATATATTTCGTGCAATTCGAGATGGAAGTGCACTTATGCAGCATATGGAGGATTTCTATTATATCACATTACTAGAGGTAGTGTAGTCAGAGAATTATATCTTTTCCACTACTTTCCATGTTTTTCCTGTGATCCCTTGACTTGTTCTGTGGGATTATGTAATCAGAGCATATGACATTGAATTTTATTGTTTTTATCAGAATGTGAGATCTAATTACCAAAATGTTGCGCGTGTACAAAACAATGAAGAAGGCAGTGCATCAATTAGCTAATGAGGCTATAGCAATGTTCATAAATTCCTTTTATCAGGCAATATTCCTATACTGGTGCAAGCCATTTCATGTTTCCACTAATATAAGGTCTGGTTGTACAGCCTTTTTAACATTTTTTTCTGAAGTTACATTTGTTAAGATACTCCTACAAAAACTATCTCAATATAGGTTTTTGTACAGATTAAATCATATTATCATTTTTTGCCACTTTAAGATTTCTGGTTTCATTTTATTTCGAGTACTTTACTGCATCTGATTGGTGGTAATGAAAATATCTCCTCGCTTATTAGAGGCTAACCCCTAAAACTATAACCTACTTACGATAATACCTCAACCGTTTCCTTTTCAATTTGCTACTAGGCAAATGTATCTGAGCATATGATGAGAATGTAAAGAAATAAAAAACTTTTTTGATTTCTGTATTTAAAGAATAAATGTTTCTCATCATTGCATGACAAGCTCATGCATATGGTTGTTATAAGAATGAAACTGCACTGTGGGAAAGGTTTGGGCATTGCCACCTGCAATCCCTTAAAAGTTCGCATAACAAGGATTTATTGCAAAATATTTATGCCACAAAAGAAAAGGAGTGTGTGAAATCTGTCAAAGTAATAAAATAAACCAAGTTACTTTCCCAAAAGGCAAAGCATGGAGAGCTACAAGCAAGCTGCATCTCATGCATATGGATGTATGGGGTCCCTTAGGTGTTTGTTCCTGAAGTGGAAGCAAATTCTCTTGATCTTCTTAGCTGACAGGACGAGAATGTCAGGTATAGCTAGTTACTTGTATAATTATAGGTAGTTAGACTTTCTATATATATTAGTATAATCATAGGCAGTAAATTAATAAACTAATTTATGTTAGTTATCTTATATAGATCCCTCTGTATGTATATATATTTATATATCTTAAACATATTGGAATAAGATCATCAAAAAGTAATATTTTTACGTTCAGTTACATTAAGCAACAATTTTATCATGAGGAATGCTCTTTAAGAATAAAATGCAACAATTGAGGAGGAGACACTAAATTCTAGAAATGATTATGATGATTTTCCAGTGAGTGGCAATGGGACCTTGGAGGGAGGACATCTATGAAAGACACATTGTTTTGCTGAAATCTACCTGTAGAAAAAGCCTCAAAGTAATTTTATGGAAGACTACTGTGAAGGAAGAGCTGAAGATGATTGTGGAGAACAAAACTTAGGTACTTAATTTTAGAGAAAAAGTAATAATTTTATTTTTTACTTTTTAAATTGTTACATTTAAAATATTTATAAAATTTATAATTTATTGATTAGAAAATTTTTATTTTATTAAAATTTTAATTACATGATATTATTATTTTAATAAAATTTTAATTATATCATTTTAATTAATTAAATAATATAAAATATCTTATTCAACACTCATATGAGTTAGTGCAGAGATATTACACATGCGCAACTTGCAGACCAAGTTGCAAGCCCGAGACGTACGCGTGCAGAACGAAAAGAACTTTACTATGGAATTTTTAATCTATTGATTAAAAAAATTCTTGTTGTACTAAAATTTTAATTACATGATATAACTATTCTAATAGAACTCTAATTACGTCATTTTAACTAATTAAATAATACAATAATAAAATATCTTATTTAACACCCACCTCAAATTGGTATAGAGATATTACAAATGTTCAACTTATAGGTCAGGTTGCAAACTCAAGGCGTACGCACACGAAAAAGCCAAAAAAGGATCAGAAAAGGCTAGTCAAAGCGATTCACACGCAAAGAAGGCCTAGTTATGAAATCAGAGGCGATTGTGTGCGTAAGAGCTCAAAAAAGGATCAGAAAAGGCTAGTCAAAGTGGTTCGCACACGGAGGAAGTAGATTTGTCTAGAAAGAGAGCTCGACTTGGCTCAAAATAGCTTGACTCAACTGCGTAATTAATAGGGTAATTTATGTTGGTTACCATATATGAATCTCTCTACATGTATATATATCTCTATTCTCAATTCAATAATAGACAAGTAAATATTCATTATTTTTCTTCCCTAACCATTTATATGGTATCAGAGTTAGGGTTTAGGTTTGGGTTTTAAGTTTTATACCAATAAGGGTTGAACCCATTCTTGGTGCCCGAGAAAATCGACCACCGTCCTCTGACTAGTTCATATTGCGACCAACACAATGGTGCACGCAGAAGAGTTGGAGGAAGCCTTTTTCTCTCAGTTTTTGGGTCTTCAAACGTTGAGTGAGTCACGTTCGGCCGTTTTGCGTGGGTGTCACATTCAGCTAGAATTCAGAACCTGAAAGAAGCTCAGCCGACCTAGTCTGAGCAAGAAACTAGAAGGTTGCAGTGGAAAAAGTAGAGGCAGAGCAGATTGCATGATATCAAGCTTTTTTCAACTTTTGATGCAATTTGAGATGATTTTTCAAACACTTTTCTAGATTCAGGCGTGTATTTGGGTTCTGTGGTAATTTTTGGTCGAAATGAGGTATTTTGTGATTTCTAGCGGCAACACCTAGCTCTTCGCCAGCAGTGCGTGAACTCCAGCAGCGGTGGCACATGAACTCCAATGGTTGGTAGTGAAGTTCTGGTAGGATTGTTGTCAACCGTACATGAAAAGGTACTCTGTTTTCTTATATTTTTGGTATATTTGCTGTGTTTTCTGAGTATCTCTGACCGTTGTGTTTTGAGTATTATGAGTGACATTTTTTGTAATTCCTCGATTGAAATGGATGATAATATTATCTGCTATTATTTCCGTGAACAAAAACATATAAAGTGGTACTGTAAGAAAATTCATAATCGCAATCGGATGGCACAGACCGCTAATATTGTTGTTGTTATTGCTAGCACATCTTCTGAGAAAACTGTTATGATTTCAGCTGACGAATGTGCTAAATTCATTCAATATTAGGAATATTTGAATAAATATTTATGCTCTTACTAAATCACAGAAAAAATATCTTATCTCCTAATCGAACAGATGGGTAATTGATTCTGGTGTTATAGATAACATGAAAGGTAATTCTAATTTTTTTTTTAGTTTTCGATCACACAAAGTACATTTTCCTGTAATTATTCCTGATGGGTCAACCTAGAACATTGTCTGTTTGGGAATCACAAAACCAATGTTTTCTATTACCCTGCTATTTGTATTATGTCTATCTAAATTTGTCTTCAACCTAATTTCTGTGAGTACACTTATTAAAGATTTGAATTGTTGTATTATATTTTTTTATCACTGTATTTTTCATGATCTTATAACTAATCAGATTATTGGTAAAAGAAATATATCAGATGACCTATATATTTTTTATACTTGGGTACCTCGATCAGTTGTCTGCTCAATGTTATCTCTGCATTTGAAGCACATTATCAATTAGGACATCTTTCTTTACCTGTGTTGGAGAAATTATGTTTTTAGTGTCATGATGTCCCGTCATTAGATTGCGAGTCATTGTGGTTTGCAAAATATCACCGTAGTCCATCAGGTTCAAGGATCAATAGATGAGCTGAGTTTGCTTTTGAGTTAGTTAACTCTGATGTTTGGGGCCCTTATCCTATTTCGTTCAAAACTGGGTTTAAGTATTTCATTACCTTTGTAGATGACTTTTCTCGAATTACTTGTATATATTTTATGAATAATCGTTATGAAGTATTTTCTCACGTTTGTGCTTTTTGTGTTAAAGTTAAAATACAATTTAATATTTTTGTGCATGTATTAAGAAGTAATAATGTCAAGAAATATATGTCAAACTCATTCATGAACTATATGATTTAACGTGTGATTCTTTACCAATCCTCGTGTGTGGATACACCATCTCAAATAGAATAATTGAGAGAAAGCAGACATTTACTTGAGACAATTTGAACCCTCTTGCTCCAAACGTAATTTCCTAAATAGTTCTGGGTTGATGTTGTTTTTACGACATGTTTCTCAATTAATCCTATGTTATCTATAGTATTTTATGGAAATGTTGCTTACAGTTTTCTTTTTTTAAACAATTTTTTATTTTTGGTACAAGGTAAGATATTTGGTAGTACCTGTTATATTCGAGATGTACAATTTAATGTGACAAAATTGAATCCAAATGTCTTAAAATGTGTATTTTTTTGATATTTTTACTTTAAAAAATGATACTGGCATTACTCTTCAAATCTCAATAAATATTTGATATCAACTGATGTGATTTTTTCAGATAATATACCGTTCTTATCCTCAATGTACAAGTTTACAAGTTAGAGGACGGATAATGAGTGACTCATCTATAGTTTCATACTAGATGTCTCTACTAAGTAAACAGATAATGGTACTTATTTAGATAATGTGTCTCCAGTCCTAGTTGAGTAAGTTAACGATAGTATTAGAGTACCTCTGACCCAATTACCACCACCAGTTATTCATATTTATTCCAGAAAACAACAGATTAATGATACACGTCCTCCACTAGCTTCGTCGTCATCTGATTCTGTCTCACAAGACCTTGATCTTACCATTGGTGTGATAATCAGACTGCCCTTCATATTGTCTTGAATCCTGTGTATCATGAGAGAACCAAACATATCAAGGTTAATTGTCACTTCATCGGAGAGAAGATTCAGGAAAAATTTATTAAGCATATTTTTTTGTTGTTTTAGGGTTTGAAAAAATCTTGAAATAAAAACTCTAAAATAGGTTTATTTGGCTCTGATACCATATTAATTTTAAGAGCAAAAATAATTTTATTTCTGACTCTTTAAATTATTACACCTATGGTATTTATAGAATTTTTAATATATTAATTAGGAAATAACTATTCTACTAAAATGCTAATTACATGATATTTCTATTATAGTAGAATTCTAACTACATAATATCAATTAATTAAATAATAAACTAAAATAATAAAATATCATATTTAACATATTTGTTTCAAATTTTTTGGGATTTATTCAAATCCCATAAAATCTGGGATTTATTTCAAACTTTCATATTTTAGAAACAAATCATAACTTTCCAAACTTATATCTACCAACACTCCCCCTTAAATTGGTGTAAAGATGTCTATCATGCCCAACTTGCTCACTTGATCTTCAAATGGTTGACTCAACAGTCCGTTGGTTAATATGTCTGCAATCTGCTATACAATAGGCACAAAAAGAATACATATTATCCTTTATTCAAGTTTTTTTTTATAAAGTGTCTATTAACTTCAACATGTTTAATTCGATCAT